TCCTCAATTACACTCTACAGTAGGAAATTATTTGCCTGCACATTAGAATTTTGATGAAAACCAGAAAGTAAACTCACAAAAACAAAACATCAAGAAAAAAAAAATGAGAACAGGAAGCTTATTTGAGTTGACTTTCCCTTTGTAAAGGAAAAGCGTGGGAATTATTTTTCAACAGGCTTTTACTGAATAAAAAAGCTGAAAAGTTAGAAGTTTGTAAGTCAAAAGTGACTAAAGTTTAGCAGTCAGAAGAATGTGTTGGATGAACCCTGAGCATCACACATATCTGAAGCCTATTCTCAAAACAAAAGCAACAAAAATAAGTCTTCACCAAGCGAATGTAGCCCCAAAATTCTATTTCAACTTCTACTTAACTCACAAGACTGTCAAACCAGTCCCAAGGAAACACTCAGCTACCCTGGTGACCTTATCAAAGTTAAGATGGCTCTTCCCAAGCTGGGCATGGTGACACACACACCTCTCATCTAGCACTCAGGAGGTGGACCTCTGTGGGATCGAGGCCGGCCTAGAGCCTGGTCAAGTTCCAGGCCAGCTGAGCTACAGGGAGACCCTGTCTCAAAAAATAAAAGAAAAGAAAAGAAAAATAAAATAAAATAAAATAAATATGGTTCTTTCTTTGCAGAAAGTCAGGAAGTGTATTCCCTTTCCGCTTGCAGATATATAATTTTATAAGGTGAAAAGGCGTTTATGAAACAGCAGGAAAAACACTCAACACAATCTCTCTTCATGTTGCTTTCTGATGAAGATTTTTTTTCTATCCAGACATACTTTGGCTCATGCAACACTGTCCACCAGAGAGATTCAAATTCTTTAGCAAAGAGAGAGCTAGTGCTCCCAGCACCAGTAGCAGGTGCAGTAAGCAATTCCAGGACTTAGGGAAACAGTCCTAGTCCTGGCCAAAGCCCCAGTCCAGAACATGGCCCTTTTCACCCTGTGGATTTGGTGAAGTTGCCCCAGACATCAATGGTGGTAGCAGTGGCAGCAAGCTTGGGTTGTGGCTAGGGTAGACTGGCACCTCCTACTGATGTTTTCAAGTCCAGTGGGCAGGGAGAAAAGATAATTCCAGCCCCATGCAGGGACATCACAAAGATGTTCCACTCAGAAGAAAATCAGATACTAGTATCAAGGGTACTTTAGGAGGTCCCTGTTGTGTTTAGAGCTTGGGATAGGAAAACTACTTTGGAGCTAACTAAAGTTAAATTGAGGTGTCTACTTACAACGCCAAGAAATGTAAATAAGATAGCCTGTGTTAAGGACCACCAATTCTAGAAGGTGGAATCATACAGGTTCCATCCTGTTCTATCTGCTTAAATTAAGTCACACCATGAAATACCATTCTCCCCCAACCAAAGCCACTGTTCTGAACTCTACATGCCAAACATCTTTGAATACATATTGATGAGGTTCTGGGTCTGACTGTGGGGGATTAGCTATCCCACCATTCACAATGCTTAGGTCAAATGCCGACAATTCATTTCTTGAGTTAATACCAACCAAGACTAGGGAGCTTCTCTATTGTTTAACAGCCTGGATTCTGAAAATGTCTGAGGGTTTTTTTTCTTGTTAAATGCAAACAGACCATCATCACTCATAGTCCTAGTCATCATCCTATAGGAATCTTGTATAAAACAGGCAATACACAATATTCTCCTAAAATTGCCAGAGCTTTAGTTAGTTCTACAGCATGTGTAGTTTCACAAAGCAAAGAAAATGGAATTAAAATACTTTAATTTTGACTGTCTGGTAAGCTTCATTTCCAAATAATAATTAGATATGTGGATGCAAACCCCATCATCATTGAATCTTAAGACACTTTACTCTACTTACTTGTATTTTAAGAGCAGCCACTGCATTAGCCAGAGTCCTACAAGGATCATGCCGTTAATTTCACAAATAGAAAAGGCCCACTGCACCCGGTTAAAATGGTCAAAAAACGTGTCCGGTAGTGGAGGCTGCACCTCCTTAGGAGGTACTCGTTCATGGACGACCGAGATCATCACTGTGGTGAGAATGAAACAGGAAAGTGCATAAAGAAAGGCCAGAAGAGTCTTGCCCCACTCCATGGGGTACTGGGAGCGCTCTGGTTCTGGCATGGGGATCTTTATCATCTCTTTCCTATACCCATTTGGCATCCCATTGGGTTTAATCTTGATGCTGAAGCTGCCGTCGGGGGTGGGAATGTCAACCCCAACGCTGAGGTGCCCGTTGGCATGGCCATTCTTGTGTGCTTCCATGTGGTGCTCCATCTTCAGGGTCTCTATCATGTCTAAGAGCCGCTGCCCGTTGTCAGACGAGACTCGGCACAGTGGGGTTTTTTTGAAATCCTCTTGGGTTAAGTTGATCAAGTCCTGGCCTGTGAAATGTTCTAGAGGTTCACAGTATTCTGGCATAGCATTCTCTAACAGCCAGTCTGCCACCTTCTTGGGTGACCAATAAACCACTTCCTTCATGGTACTGGCAGACAACATGCAGTCCCCAGCTCGCTCACAGACATCAGCAGTCACTGTTCCTACAGGGCAAGACACCAGCCCTCCTTGGCTGGTTCATCTTCTTGGGTCTCATGAGCAGAGACTCATTTGGCAAGATAGTCAAGGAAGTTTTAAGACACCTCATGTAGCTGTTCCCGAGCATTAATTCACCTCATTTTTGAACGGGATTCTTCTTTCTGTGGAAGCAAAAGAAAAGGTCAAGAAACCAGGACTTCCAAATCAATTCTAAAAAATGTAAAGCCTTAACTTTCATAATGAATGTGGAAAGACAATTATTTGTAAACTCTATGGTTCTCAGCACTGGCTTCAGGGAGCGCTGAGTCCCTGGCTTTCAGTCTTCTCTGAAAGCTCATTAAATTGGGTCTGAAAATGTATCAGGTCAGAGGAGGCATGTTCTACTGTTTCTCCAGTGAGGCATTTAATAAGAATAATTGAACAATACTATGAACACTAGTCAGCACTGACCAGTGATTCTGTTTGTACTCAACTCAACTCCTTGGTAAAATGTAGAGGGCTGGTGAAGCTATTGAAATCCATCATTCTGTCTGGTGAAGAATGTTGAAAAATGTACATTATATGCAGTAACTTAGATATCACAGAAGAAAACCATAGAAACTCTGAGCTCGAGGTCATCTGCTCCAAAAGTTTTACACTCTTTTGTCAAAACGCCAGCAAATCACTCTTCCAGATTCGCTTGAGCCCTCATATATAAGAATGCCACTGCAGCTACTTGGGAGGAAGGACGGGGCCGGGGATGGGGGAACGGGACACTGACACCCCGCCTATTCTGTTGATCTTTCTATTCCCAGTGCCTAGATATTCCTCTGGAACCCCACAATTTGAAAATCAAGAATCGGATCGACCCCTCTCATTTGTAAAGAGGAACCTGAGTTCTGTACAAGTCAAACAGCTTGCCTATTGTTGAGCACACAGAGGGGCTTATGTAAGGTCAGTTTGAGACTTAGTTCAGTCTATTTAGTCACTAAAGTAGTTAGCCAATAATGTAACAATAACTTTTAAAGGCATATATTCAAGGGAAGATTAAAAAATTTATAAAACTATTCATGAATATATATACATATATAATAGACACAACCATAACTATGACTAATGAATACAGCATTAAGAAACCAAGTAGAAAGGCACATAACCTTATACTGGATGCTTCTGGGAGTATTTCTACTTTTCTGCTACCTATTTCTTTAATGAGCATATGCTACTTTTATAACAACCATTTAAAATCAAATAAAACAAGAAAACAGAAGACCTAACCTAATAAAAACAACCTAGCTATGAAACATGACTTTGGCAGAAGACAGACCAGAGTTTAACTCCCAGCAACTCCCCTGTTTAACCCATAACAATGTGAGCCTCAGGTTGTTCACCTTTAAAATGGGGACAATGGCAATCAAATATTTCCTTTACAGGATTGTTTTCAGTGACTACGAAGACAGTATGTGAAAGCGGGTGAAAGAGTCCAACTCTGTAGGCAGTGATCTTGAGGCATTTGTTGGAGCTCATGTCTTTTTAGTCCTTTTTCAAACTACCAATCATAATCGACAGCCACTGTTCACTTTATCTCACCACAAAAAACTCTACCAGCTGGATTAACTCTTTTCTAATGATTAATGTTGTGTTAACTGTAAAAGCACTTTTGTAGATCTAGAAGTTTAAAAGCTGCAAATTATTAATGATATTGTTTGTCTAAGAATATTTTTGTGGATTATTAAACTGGAAACTGTTCCACTCTTTTAAAAAAAGTAGTTCTGTAGCCAAATGCACTCCACAGGTGCATGCTGTCATCTTTCCAGGATGTCCATATTAGGATGTTAGGTACTAAGGAAACTAATTCTTCAGGAAAGAAAACATTCACAGGGATTTCTCAAAACTAACTTCCTTAAAGCTGTCCTACCCTCCACCCCCTTTCCTCTCCAAGTCTCCCACTGAACTCAGTCTCATTCTTGAAGATAGGTAATATACATCCTCCCAATTTCCCAGTCCTAATACCACCAATGGGATAATAACTTGAAGACACATACCAGTCCCTCTCGAGTGTCCTTGGTGCTGTACACCTTCCCTGTCACACCTACCTGCTCCTGGCTAAGCACCTGGGAGACTCCATGGAATCCCTGAATGCCATCCAAGGGCAGCTGCCTCAGGCAGCCCGAGAGCTCAGAAACTACTCTGTCATAACCTGTCAGAATCTTCAAAGATATCCTTCAGACCTTGTACCATCCAAGTTTTAATGGAAAATAAACCTACTAGTAATATCACTAATATTGAAAACTGCTTTAAACTGCCTTGAATGAAAAGGGAAATATAAGCCTTTTCCAGAGAGAAATAGAAAGCACTCACAGCCACTACAGAGGCACTCCAATTGTGGTGAGCACAGCCTAGACAGCGGTGAGAAGGAAGGAATGCAAAAAGGGGACCCTCCAAAGACCTCTCCTCAGCAGATTTAGGGGTAATGGTCAGGGAAACGTTCAACATCTACAACAGAATGCTAAAGAAAAAAGTCTTGGTGGTGTCATGTTCAGGCCCAAGGGAAGGGAACACTGGCTTTCCCTGGAGAAAACAGCATTGTGCTATCTTCATTTACCCCCTTGCCCAGCACAGGACATGTGCCAGCCACAGCTGCCACACCAAGGTGTACTGTACTGTCCTCTGATGGGCCAAGCAGGTACATCATCTCCTGTGTAAAGAGATGAGAAACTTAAAAATAGAAACAAGTCAAATTGTAGGAGACAGTTTAATATAGGATCAGACATCTATCTGGCATGGCAGGTGCCTCAAACATCAGACAGATCAAGAGGAACAGAGGAAGAAGATCTTGCAAAGTCAATCTCATCAAGTAGTTTCTGACAGCAGGAGGAACTGCCCAGAGTTAAGATGATATGCTAGCTGCTTCCACCATCATTACCAAGGACCACAAAAGCATTCCCTTCTGAAAACAAACCCTGTACTTCCCCTAATTTGGAATCCACCATCTTCTCCTAGCTAACTATCCAGAATTTTCTCATACACTGCAAGTTTCTTTGCACAACCTTTATTTACTGAGCACACCACTTCAGAGTCCTTTCCACACACCTCAAACTGCTTCCTCACCAGCATCTGCGGCACACACACACAAAAATCTATCTAGTGTGCTCATGTGAGAGAGCACTCAGGTAAGTGTTCTATAGGAGAAATGAGTGTCAACATGAGGGACCTATTCAAGTCCTTTAATGGTTCCTAGTCAGTTTCAGTTGGAAAACAGGCCTAATTTAACTACCTCACCTACCTTCACATAGAGTACTACCATCGTAAGGATGGTTATGTTAAAGAAATAAAAGCGCACATCTTATTCTTTACCTTATGTCCTATCTTCTTTTCCAATGCCCAACTGGACCCACAGTAATGCTTCATAAATGTTTAAGGAAGCTGTCACGTCTAGAAGGCATTTCTAAGTCCCATCATCCTAATACAGGTGTAAAGACAGCTTTCCAGTTTCATGAGGAAACAAACTTTTATTTTTAAGCAAGCTTTGAAGCCTGAAAACAAATGCATTCATGCTGTTTACCTGTAGCTGATATGGAACTAGGCAAAGGGGAAAAGCTCATTTCTGTGGACGTGACCTGTTAGATGGCTCCTGTTTTTCAAAAGCCATTGCTCGTACACTTGCTTCAGGGACCCCAGGGCCCAGCTATAGACACAGAAGTCAGAAAGTTGTTTTTCCTTGGACTTACACACTCAGGATAGATACAGTGTGGTATTTCTGAAAGGAGACAGGCGAAGTGTCTTCACAGCTCCACCTAGAATACTGTATGTTCACACAGGCTTGGGCAACAATTATCATCACCCAGAAAAACCATGTTGAACTCATACATGACCCAAGTGAGAGGATTTATTACACAGAATGGGGAAGAAATAACAAAAGAACAAAAATGAAATAAACACTACAACACTTCTTCCTGAAGTATCTCACAATTTGTGAGACAGAAGAGGCATGGGAACGTCATTCATCTTTAATTTTCAGAGAAGTCTGGTCCAGTTTTGATTTGTTTAAAATTTTAGGCATAGAGAAGAGGGGCTTCTGGAGTGAAGAGGCTCTGCAGGGCACTCCTGTTGAAAATATTCAATGGCCTCACAGATGTGAACATGGAGGAAGGAGAGTCTAAAAAGTCCCAACCAATCAATGGTGGCTGTCTATGCATTAAAAAGAGGAACACATGTTCACTACAGGGTCTAAGCTTAGCAGAACTTTCTATCTGGTCTCAACCAAGTGAAAAATAATTGTTTTAAATTCAATTTGGCTGATTCTAAAAATAGATATTTTAGTCTTTAATGTTATGAGAGCTTTTTGATAATATGCCACACCACCATATAATCCATTTATAGTTAATTATGAAAGTCAGGTCTTCAAGGAAGAAAAATAAAGCAATCATTTTGGAAATGTAAAAATGATTCAACCAACTAAAATCATGAAATAAATCATTTAGAACTACTTGCTTATACTCCTTCAAAATAATCTATTATATCTTTTACCTGGCATAATCTAGAAAAAAAAAACAGCATTGTGCTATCAAAAACTTACCACTGGAATTACAAATTGAGCACAAGGATTTCAAAAATTAAAATATTATGCCAGTAATCCCAGTACTCAGGAGCCTGAGGCAGGATGATTGTGAGTTAAGAACCAGCCTGGGCTACATAGCAAGACGCTGTCTTGCGTATGCCTTTAATTCCAGCACTCGGGAGGCAGAGGCAGGCAGATCTCTGTGAGATCTAGGCCAGCCTGGTCTACATAGCAAGTTCCAGGCCCCTGGAGCTACAGGGAGACCCTAGCGCCCCCCTCCAAAAAAAAAAAAACCACCAACCAAACAAAAACACCGTAACATCAAAACAAGCCCTCCCAAGAATTAGAAATTAGAATATTACAAAACATAATACAAGTTGAGAATTCATATTCTGCTCTGAAACAAACCGACATTGTATAAAGTAAAGATAATCTACTAGAACTTCTGACCTTTGAAAAACTCATGAAATGGTTCATTCTTCCTTTACTCAATTTGGATAGCTGCTGAATGCTTTTCTCTATACCAGTCCTAGTAGGCTGAACATTTTATTTAGCACTTGAAGAGTTAATTTAGATATGGAGAATTTATAAAGTACATATGAAGGACAAAAATGGTTAGAA